ATGAGAAGTTGCTGCAAGAAGTTGTCGAGCATATGAAGAAAGCTCAGCAAGCAATGATTGCTTCTGAGAATCAACATCGTAGACAGTCCTCATTTCAGGTAGGGGAACGAGTCTGGGTCAAGGCTAGTGAGCTAGGACAAGAATTCGGAATCTCTCGCAAACTAATGCCTCAGTATTTTGGTCCATGGGAAGTCCTGGATATAGTGGGAGATGAGATGGATGGTCCCACATATGTCATTCGTGTCCCTGGACACCTACGCACTTACCCTGTCTTTCATGCCTCAAAGCTTGCACCTTTCGCTGAGACAGATCAATTCCCTTCCAGGAGATCGATGCTGCCCCCAACCATGGATGGTCAAGTGGACATCGACGACATTGTGGATCACAGGGACATGCCTGTTTCAAAGCCGCTGGGCCGAGGAAGGCCTCCAAAGCCCAAGAGAGAGTACCGCGTCAGATTCAGGCATCACACAGATCCAAAAGAAGATCGTTGGTTTACCAGAGAGGAACTGATTGAGACAGCTCCTCAGRTGGTGGCAGATTAGGAGAGAAAGCTGAAAGGGAAGGCACCTGCGAAGTAAGCATCTCAGCGGACTTTCGAAGCTAAGGGGGATGGAATGTGAGGATTGAGCCCTCAAGAAGGGGCCTTGCCATGATGTACATGTTCTGGGCTAAGGCCCCAGCAAGCCTCGTGCCCACCCTAAGTGAAGGCGGGCCAGCAAATCGACAAGAGCCCGCTGTGCAAACATTTCACGAGGTGGGGTCCATACAGTTGCAGCACGCCAGTTGGTTGGTGTGCACCGAGTCTCAAATCTCTGCAAATGTGGAGATCCCAGGGCCTCTGAGTTAGTTAGGCCCTGGGCACTTGAACGTGAGGCCGACAATGCATGCTGGGTATAGAGGCCGAAAATGCCAAAGGGAAATCGGCTCACTATCTGAATCTGGCCGCAGGCCTTGACAAAAGAGGCGCAACTGCATCACCCGGGCCCCAACTGCATCGGGCCTGGGTTCAGGCACTGGGGCCCAGTCGCAGGCTGAAGGGAGGCCGCCCACACGCAACACTGGCAYATAGGCAAGCAGGGCGAGTGGGCAGGGATCTTGGCCATTGCGAGCAAGGCCGGCACGCTGCTGCGTTGCATGGATGCTGCGCTGCGCTAAGGCTGAGGAGAGCAGGACAGCGCTAGGCGGTAGGGCGCTGCCTGTGGGCGCAGGGCGCTGGCGGCCATAGCCGGGCTGCCTGTGTGCGCAGAGGGGTGAGGGCGAAGGTGGTTCTTCGAAGGTGAAGGCCGCTGTGTGGGTAACAAGGGAGAGTGTGGGTGAAGAGAACACGTACCTGGTGGAGGTGGAGGTCAGCATTGGTGTTGACATCATCACTTGCTGGTAGTCAAGTTGTCTGGTTGCTTTCATTGCTGTAGTTGTAGGCTTAGTCTGTAGAGTACATAGGGGGCCTGGCGCCATTCACAAGAGAGAGCTACATTGGGTTATGCTGTTGGTGTTGCCCTATTGGGCCTGGACATTGACTCACGATTCTTCTGTATCATTCTCAAATGGATGGTTACTTGGTTCCATTGTGCTATCTGCGCTGGCTTTGACTACTTGAACTGCAGTGTGATTTTGCATTCTGGATTCCATATTCATGTTCCTTGCACATCATTTGCACACATCGCTACTTATGCGACATAATGGTATTAAATACTATTAATTAATTGAAATAAACCTGTGTTAAATTCCGGGCCGCCCGACGGGCCAGCCTCCGTCCGGCAGGGGTCCCGGGCGGCCCGGCCAGTTGGGTCCCCCGGTTCGATGCCGGGCAGGCCCAACGCATTTTTGCGCGGGGGGGGGGGGAGGCCTGTTTCGACATTTCTGGGCCTTGGGAGCCTCCCCGCCCCCCCGCGCAAATTTGAAGCATCCCGCCCCGTCGCACTCCCGCCTTCGACTTCGAATTTGAAGCATCCCGCCCCGTCGCACTCCCGCCATCGACGCCCGTTGCTGCCCGCCCCGTCGACACCCGTCGCTGCTCCCGCCGTCGACGCCCGTCGCTGCCCGCCACCGCCGAGGTGCCCGTCGTCCCTGTCGCCACCGCTGCCCGTCGTCGTCGATACCGTACCGTTGCGCGAAATGCTGCCTGTCAGCTCTTTCTTTCTTTCTCTCTCTCTCTCTCCCCTCCTCCTCCTCCTCCTCCTCCTCCTTCGTCATCCTTTTCTTTTTCTTTTCTTTTGGTCGACGTATCAAGAAACCGGCAGATCCTTCTCCTCCTCCTCCTCCTCCTCCCTTCGTCTTCTTCTCTCCTCCTCCTTTCTCCTCCTCCTCTTCCTCGTTAGTTTTCTTTATCAGTCGAAGTGCCACATGCCACGTGTCAGCCGAAGTTCCTCCTCCTTTCTCCTCCTCCTCCTCCTCTTCCTCCTTCGTCATCTTTTTTTTTTTTTTCCTTTTCCCGTCGACGCACTTCAAAATGGGCAGGTCCTCCTCCTCCTTTCATCTTCTTGTCTCCTCCTCCTCCTCATCTCTCCTCCTCCCCCTCCCTTCTTCTTCTCTCCTCCTCCTCCTCCTTCCCCTCCCTCCGTCTTCTTCTCTCCTCCTCCTCCTCCTTTCTCCTCCTCCTCCTCCTCTTCCTCCTCCTTCGTCATATCTTTTTTTTTTTTTTTTTTTTTTCCGTCAATGCAACTCAAAATCGGCAGGTCCACCTCCTCCTCCTTTCATCTTCTTGTCTCCGCCTCCTGCTCCTCCTTCCCCTCCTCCTCCCTCTCTTCCTCTTCCTCCTCCTCCTCCTCCTCCTCCTAAATGCGCAAAGAAAGTGAGAGAATCT